GAAATGAGCTTGAGTGAAAGAGCAGGGTCGAAAATGAGTGTTTTCTTAAGTTTTAACAGTGACAAATGCTGATCCTCAAGACATAGACTCCTCACAGAGCTTACGTTTAAGTGTAAGCACAAAGAGAAAGCCATGAGGGTCAGGACTCGCTGGAGAAGAATTTCCATTTTTTGATGGATGAGATTCAGAGGCGCAGGCGTGAGGGATAAATGGTTGGAGCACGTGAAAGTGGAGCCACCATGAAATTGAAAGTTTGACGTTGGTCTTCTTCAACATACGTTTTTTTGACTCCTCCTAGGCGTTGCCGGAAAATTTTTCAAAAGTCCGTAAAGGCAACTAGTTAGGACGCCCGCACATCACGCAAGGCAGCTAATCCCTTTCTATTTTAGAGCAGTGCTAGGGGCATTCGCTTTCTGCACTCTCCGGCCAACACTTCCCCTTTCATTGGGCCACGTAAGCTTCTTTAAACCTTTCAGGTGAACCTCTCGGGAACCAAAATAACGTGCCCCAATAAAAGAGAAAGTGTTTGTCGGAAAGTGCAGGAGGCGAGTGCCCCTAGCATTGCTCTTCTATTTTATGATAGTTTTGATATAAAATAATTGAGGCAGATTTCTGTGGTCGAAGTATTGACACATATAGTTGCGGTTTTTTTTTATTATTTTTATGATTTTTGGCTGAAGAAAAAGCTTATGCATTGCTCATATGAAAGTACTCGAAGTCATTTGAATTAGACATTTGATGAAATAAACAATTTGTTGATAAAATATTGGTGTACGGGGGTAATTCCCAAAAACCATGTCGGATCGAACATGGAAATCTTCTTTAGGTCTTTGATCATGATAAAGAGAAGAACACGGAGAGTAGAGACTAGAAGATACTCGTTAACTTAAAGTATGAAATAAATTTAATAAATTTTAATTACAATACAAACGTACAAAATATTTGGCTATTGCAAATTTCTGGTAAACAGTCAAAAATTAGAGTTACGAGTCAAAAGGAAATAGAGAACGGCACTTATTCCCATTGCTAGCAGTTCTCATTGTGAAAAGAGCTTTCCACTTTTTGACGAGTTGTGTCAATATATACTCTGTAGCAGTCTTTGTCCTCTTGGAAAATTGGTATATATGATACATAGTCTTCCATTACGGATGGCAACGGTTTTCATGGGACCGGACTCCCTCTTCATTTTCATTTTTGTCAAATATCAAATATATAAAATTTAATATTTTTATAAATTAAAAAAAATAAAAAATTTAAAAAAATTCAAATAAATAAATACATTAGATATACAATCCAACAAAACAATGTACAATCTAGCAAGCAAATATATACTACCATACATGTCTAATACTCTAGCTCCAGCACGCAGCCTGTTCATAGAAAAAATAAAAAAAAAAAGAGAGCATAAATTGCAACCTATTAAGCAATTGTAATTTGCAATTTACTTATTGTATTGAATTGGGTTTGGGAAGATTGGATAAAGAATTGAGTTGGGGCTGGGCAATTTAAGTTAAGTTGGATTAATCAATTGAATTAGGTAATTAAAAATTACTTGGTAATATATATATAAATTTATTTTTTTATTATATATAAATCCCATGAGTCCCCATGGGATGCAAGATATTCTCACGAAATTTCATGAGGAAAAAAGTGCTTCCATCCTTGCTCCACGAGAAAGAATATCCTTAGAATTTCTATTCTCGTAGTAGGAGTCCCCACAGACTTCCATGGATTTTAGAGGAAATTGGCATTCCTATCTTCCATACATGTTCAATTTCATAAGTAGATTTGGGTGAAAATCCTTGGCCAGCCTTTCACCTTACTGACTATGAGAGTGTTAGTCTCTTAATTTATAATATAAAAGTTTTAATCCTCACCTTACTAATTATGAGAGTATCAACCCAACTTATAATATAAAAATTTAATTCCTCATCTTTTCAACATAAATGAAAAAATCTAAAATAAATGGCGACATTGTGTGCCCATTAAATTCCATTACTTATTGCCATGTTATCACCAACGTGGCAATTTCTTGTCATCATGATTGCCATCATATTAGGGACATAGTTCTCTATTTTTATTAGCCTTGATAAAATTAGACCCAATCCAAAAATCTGACCTAATCCATTTGTTACGAGTATAGTCATGGGTTTAAGTCTCTAAGATATCAATTTATAATAAGATATAATCTAGACTAAAATTATTTGAACCTGATCTAGATCAAAATTAAGTCGGGTCAATTTAAAGTGATATTACTAAAGTTAATTATTTTTTAAATTTTAAAATTTTAATTAATTATACTTTTAATTTTAACTTTTAAGTATAAAATAAAATTAAATACTATAAACTGATTATTATTTATTAGATTATTAGTTTTAATATTAATTTAAAAGATTTTTGACTAAATAATTAATTTATATTAAGTTTTTTTAAAGAAAAATAAAGAAAATATTTAAATTTTTAATTTTAATTTCAATTTTTCAAAAAAGTTGGGTTCAATTGATTCCATTTGAGATTTATGTGGATGAGTTATGAATCTACTTTTTAACCAAAAATCTGAAATGACCAAACTCAAAATTCAAAGTGATATGGCATATAGCAGGACTGAGAGCATTAATAGTAGATTCATAACTCATCCAGATAATAATCAGTTTATGTGGTAATGTGGATGAGCATTAATAGTAGTTCAATTGTTGTAGTGCCGTATCTACTTTTTAACCATTATTCCAGTCTTTGTTTTCGGTTCAAAGGGTTTGGCTGGAGCCATTGCAGTGCATTAATAGTGTTCGTTAAAATGTACACATCGGGAGTCATTTTTCGGTGCAAAAGATATAGGCATCTCTTATTTGTGGAACAAGAGGGAGGATTTAATGCTCCTTTTTCACCGTTTGTCTATTAGCTAGTTCCACTTCGTGTGTGTCCTAAGAGCTCTAAGCCAACGAGTATGCTTTCCTTCGGAACAAACTTCTATATCAACATCAAGCTTATCATCAAACTCCTAAGATTTTCAAGTGGGAGGTAATTTCAAAAACCATATCGGGGGGAACATGGAAGTCTTGCTTAGGTGTTTGACTAATGGTAAAGAGAAAAACACAAGGGGAGTAGAGATTAGAAAATACTTGTAACTTAATGTATGAAATAAATTTAGTAAATTTTACAATACAAACATACAAAATAATTGATTGGCTATTGCAAAGTTCCGGTAATTACTCAAAAATAAGAGTAACGAACCAAAAGGAAATAGAGAACAGCACTTATTCCCATTGCTAGCAGTTCTCATTGTGAAAAGAGCTTTTCGCTGTAATGAGAAGTTGTATCAATATATACTCTGGAGCAGTCTTTGTCCTCTTGGAATATTGGTATATATGATACGATAGTCTTCCATATATTCTCCATTTCATATGCAGATTTGACATATAGCAGGACTGAGAGCACCACAACAGTTGTATTAGATACGGCACTACTACTTGCAAAAAGGTCTTGAAAGACCAATGCACATTACCGGAGAGAAAAAATTCCAAAGAGCATCAGAGGCATGAACCGAATGGTATGAAAGCAGTGAAGATGAGGTTTGAACCGGAGAGTATGAAAGCTTTCCTATAATATGTTGTTATCATGGATAATAGTAACCAGTTGTTGCAACTTGCAAGACTTGATGGATCAACGGTGACGTGAGAATTGAGATTTTACCCCCAAAAAGAAAGAAAGAAAGACAGAATGTTTCGTTAAATGTCCACATCAGGAGTACCATTATTCCAGTCTCTGTCTTCGGTTCAAAGGGTTCGGCTGAGCCATTACAGTGCATTAATAGTGTTCGTTAAAATGTACACATCGGGAGTCCTTTTTTGGTGCAAAGGATATAGGTATCTCTTATTTCTGGAACAAGTGGGAGGATGTAATGCTCCTTTTTCACCATTTGTCTATTAGCTAGTTCCACTTCGCGTGTCCTAAGAGCTGTAAGCCAACGAGTATGCTTTCCTTCGGAACAAACTACTACATCAACATCAAGCTTATCATCAAACTCACTAAGATTTTCAAGTGCAGAAACATGTTTACTACTTGTAATCATAGAATAATTTAATTTTGTAAATAATATATATATATATTATACATTACACTTATATATTATATACAGAAAGATAATTATTTTTTATGACAATGATAAAAAGTGAATAAATTTTAATTATTAAAGTTGATCCTACTCTATATTATAATATTTTACTAAGGGAAGCATCTAAGCTAACCAATTTTATTGTAGTAGTTCTAAAAAATTGTTAAGAGCTACTAATCAAGGGGCAACAAATAATCCAATTTAGAATTAATTGTTGGATGGAGAAGAATTTTAAGTCAGTGAATTTTTATCCAAGAGTAATGGATTCAAATGACACACAAACAAATACAATAAAAATAATCAAAGAAAAAAGAAATATGTAATTCCCCAAAATTGAAATACCGAGGGCGATGATAGTGAAGAAAAAAAAAAAAAGAGCTGTCCTGAAAGCCCAATAATTGACCCGGATAATCCATTTATGTTGGGCCTCAAGCCCAAAAAATTTGATCCACTACCCTAACCCTGTATGTGGTTTCCGGAATTCTTTGCTGTCTTTTTCTTAGTGTCGGATTCAAATTTGCTCTCCTGTAGGATAATATTAACAATGGCAAGCCAAGAACGAAAAGTGCCCTGAAGGAAGGAAAAAGTTTATTAATTGACGGGTTCAACTTGGACAGTAAACAATGTCCGGACTTTGTGAAACATGGTTGTCCCCAATGAGAGGTGCATGCTATGGTGCTTAACCTTCCTGCACTGCTTTGCATCTCATGATCGGTTAAACCAACTAGCTTTGTGGGAAATCTGTAAAAGTAGAAAAGCAGCAGCAGTTGTAAAGAGAATGAAGCTAAAGAAAGAACCGCCTAAGTTGAATCAAGGATTTTCTAAAATTAGTGAGGTTCAAACTATTGCTGACACACATACACAAACTTTGGTTGAGCCACGAGATACTCTACCAAATTGTTGCATTGGCCTGAATACCTCACATGCTAAAGTTCAACAGGGTACTAGGAAGTTCTTTAAGATAGTAGAGGTTCCTTCAGATCTTTAGTGGGCAGTGAACAAATAGAGGCAAGAGATGAGTGGGCAGCAAATGTTGGGCCATAACAGTAATACTAATTAAAGACCTTCTGCCAGTATCATTATTATTGACCACTGAACATTCATTTTATAAGTTTTATTACCAAAGAATAATGAAAATCAGTATAACCTAGCATTTAAAATGTTAGGAACCTTTATAGAATTATTTAAATATCTTTAATGAATCTTTTTATATGTTGATTTATTAACAATATTTAAATAATGTTATAAAGAGCCATAATATTTTAATTATCAAGACGTCTTAATTTTCAACAATATCTTAGTAGTATAGAGGAAACTAGAAATATGTGGAAGTAAACTTTAGCATTGGAAAGAGAGGAAATTACATGCATATAAATGTAAAGCTTAGCCTCTCATCAATATCATACCGATAAGTTGTTTGAAAGGCTTATTGATTACTAAACAAGAACATTGGATGTAGGCATCTTTTATTTTTGGAACAACTATATCAGGACGGAATGCTCCCATTTCATCACCAGGTCTGCTAGTTCCTCCTCTGGCGAGTCCTGAGAGTTCTTCGCTCATGATTTCTGCTTCTTTGATCTAGCTGAGGAAAAATCTTGAAAAGAATACTGTCAACATGTTTGTAATACCATATCCTCCATCTCTTCCTTAACATAAGTGGTAAAATGACAATGGCTAAGCCAAAAATAAATCCCACTTCAGCACTTATGAGATTCCAGTCAATCTTGGTTCCATTATCTAAATTGTTGCCTTTAGATGTTGGTGCGGTAGATGGTGGCTGCATATTAGCTCCACAATCTCTCAAAGGGGTCCCGCACAATCCCTTGTTATCTTTGAAAGAATCTTCTGAAAATGTTTGAAGTTGATTTCCTTTTGGGATTCTTCCTTCCAATTGATTGTGTGAGAGGTTGAGGACCTCAAGAAAATTCAGGCCTCCCAGCTGCTGAGGAATATTGCCTCTTAAACTGTTAGCAGACAGGTCCAAGGACTCGAGATGCTGCAAGTTTCCTAGAGATGGAGGGATTGGACCCATGAGAGAATTATGTGACAAATTGAGGACAATGAGTGCCCTGAATTCTCCCATCACTTCAGGTATCTTCCCTTCAAATTTGTTGCATGAAAAATCAATGGAGGTGAATATTGTTAGGATCTTCACTAATTCTATCTCTGAACCTTTATTGGTGACTATCACCATATCTTGATAATATAATGAATAAAGTGAAATATCAAATCTGAGGTAATCAAATGCTAGTTGAATTTTATCTTTGTTGACCATCATTGTTGTCCACGTTTCAAAGAATTTTGTTGGCAGTTTTCCACTAAACTTGTTAGAAGATAGATCAACAATCTGAAGCAATGGCCAGGTGTCATTGCTCGTTGGACATTCAATGGACCCATAAAATTTGTTGGATCGCAAAACAAGAACCCGCAAACTGGATATAGTACTCAACCAACATGGGAAGCTATCATTGATCCCATTGTTCCCGACATCTAAAACTTCAAGCACTTTGCAGTTAGCCAGGGACTTGGGAATCTTTCCTTGCAGGTAATTTTCATTGAGATACAAAGTTTGTAGTCCACAGTTGACCGAAAATACGTCAGGAATGGTGCCAGTCAAGTTGTTTCTCCTTAAATTCAGGACGCCAAGTCCCTTACTGTGACTCATAGCAATCAAACACCGAGGCACAGTGCCACTTAAAGAATTCTGAGACAAATCAAGGACATTAAGTTGTTCTCCATTGCATATTGAATTAGGGATGACTCCACGAAAATAATTACCTGATATCGAGAAAAAGTAAGTGTTGAATAAGAAATGACCAATATCAGCAGGAAGAACAGAGCTGAATCGATTCTCTGAGTAATCCATGTATAGAGCTAGCGACAACACATTAGAGATATCCCCTTGAAGCTGGTTTGAATGGAGATCTAAGATCGTCAGAGAACTAAAATTACAAAAAGATCCATCAACTTTCGTTAAGGAGTTATTCGATAGATTGAGCCATCTCAAAGGTAGCTTAAATATCCAATTGGGTATTTCTCCTTGAATCTGATTGCTTGAAAGGTCTAAAACCAACATATTTGACTGATTTTTCAAGAAACTTGGAAATTTCCTCAGCTTGCAGGAGGCCAACCTTAATTCCAATAACTGAGGGAAACTAGTGAAATTAATATTACCGAATGAGGCATCATCCACCGACAAATGATTAAAAGAAAGATCAAGTGTAGAAATATTTTCGAGTTTCTGGATGATGCTGAGCTCTAAAGTGCCATTGAAGTTGTTGGAAGAAAGATCGACTTCCACAAGACCCTGAAGCTTGAAAAAAGAAATGGGTATTGAACCTTCTAACCTGTTACCTCTCAAATTAAGAAGGACCAGCTGAGAACAATACAAAACTGCAAAGTCACCAATTTGACCAGAAAACCAGTTGTTTGAAAGATCTATTGTCTGCAAAGATGGAAGAGAAAACAGAGACAAAGGGATAATTCCCTCTAGTGAATTATTTTGCAACCTAAGATTTGCAAGATTTGAAAGGTTTTCCCAATTGGTGGAACTTATCTGACCAGACAAATCATTATGAGATAGATCTAAATCATTCAAATTCTTCAACATACCGAAGGACGGAATGGACCCAGAAAACTGATTCTGACTCAAGTCCAAAACAACCAGGTTTGCAAGGCTTCCTGTCGAGTTTGGAATCGACCCTCTGAAATGGCACCGTGAAAGATCCATTGTTGACAACATCCTAAGGTTCCGAATGGAGTCTGGCATCATCCCAGAAAAGTTTGTTTCTCTCAGCAGCAGGGTCTGTAAAGACCCATTTTCAGGAAATTCAGGTAGAGACCCTTGAAGAAATGCATTGTAAGATATGTCAAGATTCTGTAGAGTTGGCAGCTGAAAAACTTTTGCTGGAAACTCTCCTCTGAAAAAGTTCTTAGCCAAATTAAGGCCCTGAAGATGATGAAGATTCAAGAGACTGCTTGAGTTATCAATCCTACCGGAAATCGACTCAAGGCCGAGGTCAACGTCAATAACGTGGCCACTATTGCTGCATTTGACGCCGGACCAAGAACAACAATCCGTTGATGAATTCCATGAAACAAGCTTGAATGAAGAAGCAGGGTCGAAAATGAGTGTTTGCTTAAATTTTAGCAGTGACAACTGCTGATCCTCAAGACATAGACTCCGAACAGAGCCTACGTTTAAGTGTAAGCACAAAGAGAAAGCTATGAGGATGAGGAATCGCTGGAGAGTAATTTCCATTTTTTGACGGATGTGAGATTGAGAGGCGCAGGCGCCTATTATAATGAGAGTGAAAACGGAGCTGCCATGAAAGTTCAAAGTCGTTTTTCTAGGAAAAAACAAAAAAGACAAAAAAAAAAAAAAAAAAAACTTTCCTAGTCATTCCATTTGCTGCGAAACAGATAGAGAACATGAAACAATTAAATATTCATCACTAAAGAGATTATCATTATTTCTTTCATCTACTTTTCTTTTTTTTATTACTAAAAGGACTACTTTTCTGCATTTTACTATAGGATTTTTGACTCTAATCAGTTGGTTTCCAATATGCATCTTCGGGGAAAATATGAATTTCCTCATCATTCTCTTCTCTTTTCATAAAGCTAACCTCTTTGGTGTTTGCTTTTCTTCTATTTATCTACTTTTTATGATTTCTATTACTGAAGAAAACTACTTCTCTGCTTTTTAGGTTGGAATCTTTGACTCTTATCAATTAGTTTCCAGCATGCATTTTCGGGGAAATTATGAACTTGACTTCCATGCCATACCATCCTTTTCTGCTTCTTCACAACGGCTCCTGAAACCATCGTACAGGCAACTCGAACCTAAGCCCAGCAATTTCATATCACTTGAAAAGAGAGGTTCTATTGTGATATCACGGATAACACGTCACGTTAAATTGTCAACTGGTATTACGGCCCGATAACAATAATTCAATGGACTTGGATCATTCATTTATGTTGGGGCCCAGCTCAAAAGGTCTCAATCCATCTTGAAGTAAACCGGGCCGGTAAAATCCCGATTAGCTCTTTTAAAGTTTTGAGGCGGGGGACCTTCTGCTTTGTTAATTTCTAATTACTACAAATAAGTAAAACTATGAGATCGTGATATTTTAAATATCTAATTATATATTTTTAAAAGTTTTGTTGAGTAGTGGTTTATTAAATATATTTAAATATTATTATTATTATTAACATTTTAATTACCAGAAGATTTTAATTTTCCATAATTCCTTTCTACATTTATGCTGAAATAAACACTTGTTTGCCAAAAAAAGGCAGAGACAGTGAATGTTGTAGACCTACGTCAGTTGCTGCATGACCAGAAAATGTAGTCTGTATTGAAAGCACAGCAGTGTATGTGTATTAGATTAGTTACTACTAGCCACTAGGGGTGGGCAAAACTGGTTTTTGATTAAAATCAAAATCGGTTTTAAAATAATCAAAAAAAATTTTATTTAATTTTGA